GTTGGTCGGTATACACGACGACTGCATGTGCCAGAAAGTAGGGCTTCAATTTTTTAACAGCCATGAAGAGTGCAAGACCAAATTTCTCCACTAGGGGATACCTCAACTCGGCATTTTTCAGTACGTGACTGACAAAGTAGACCGGAAGTTGACAGCCGTCCCTTTCAGCAAGGAGCACCGCGCTTAACGCATGATCAGAGACGGCCAGGTACATGTAGAGATTTTCTTTGGGCAAAGGGCTGACCAGCCTTGGCAAGGAATGCAAGTGAACCTTTAATTTCTGGAAGGCGGCCTCAGCATCCAGCCCCCATTCAAACCTTGCCTTTTTCTTAATTGCCTGGAAAAAGTATAGGCATTTGTCGCCTGATCGGCTTAGAAATCTTCCCAAGGCCGCCAGACAACCTGTTAACTTCTGAACCTCTCGGACGGTACGAGGCGACTGCATGTCAATGACCGCCTGTACCTTCTCAGGGTTCGCCTCTATTCCTCTCTGGTTGATAAGGAATCCGAGAAATTTCCCAGACTCAACTCCAAATACACATTTCTTGGGATTGAGCATGACATGGTGCCGCCTGAGTGTGGCGAAAGTTTCTCGGAGGTCCGTCAGATGATCTTTCTGAAGTTTAGTCTTAACAATCATATCATCAATGTATGCCTCGACGTTTCTCCCAATCTGATCAAAGAACACTGTGTTTATCATTCGTTGGAATGTAGCCGGGGCATTCTTAAGACCAAACGGCATGACCGTATAACAGTATAATCCCTGATCAGTGACGAAGGCCGTCTTCTCCTGATCTTTCTTCCACAAAGGAATTTGATGAAAACCAGAATAGGCGTCCATAAAACTCATCAAGGCATGGCCGGCTGTTGAGTCGACCAGGTTATCAATTTTGGGCAGAGGGTAACTGTCTTTGGGGCACGCCTTGTTCAAGTCTGTGTAGTCTACACACATTCGCCAGGTGCCATTCGGCTTTTTAACAAGTACCACATTTGCAACCCAATCTGGGAAGTAACATTGCCGAATGAACCCTGCATCAAGTAATTTTTTGACTTCGGCGGCGGCCGCCTGACCTCTTTCTTCACCATGGTTCCGCTTCTTTTGCCGTACCGGCTTCTTTTTCGGATCCACAGCGAGTTTGTGTACTGCCAGATCAGGACTAATGCCTGGCATTTCATGGACTTCAAATGCAAAGATGTCCTTGTATTCTTTCAACAGGTTGTGAAAGTCATCACCAAGGTTTCTCAGAGCAGTCGTCCCAACTTTGATTGTTCGGTCAGGGCGGGAGTCGTCTAATATCAGGTCCGTATGCTCACCAGCCGGCTGAGGGCGGAACTCATCCGGCCGGTCCTCTGCCAATGATTGCTATTTTCTTGCCTTTCTGGCGGACTCTGTCTGGGACGCCTTTCTTTTTCTGTCGCCTGTTTCTTGAACAGGCGCACTTTCCTTGACATTGTCAAGGTCTGTTTTTTCTCCACTTGACCCAGTGGCCTTAGCAGTGGGTTTGACATCCGAGAGATAGCACTCTCGGGCCATCCTCTGATCTCCCCTTAGGGAGCCGACTGTTCCATTGTCCCTTTCAAACTTAAGCAGCATAAGTGACGGGATTATAACAGCCTTGGCACTATTCAGGGTTGGGCGACCCAGAATCATGTTGTAGGCAGAGAGTTCCTCTACAACTAGGAATCGGACTACCATGTGTCGTCCTTCCCCTTTTTCGCCCAGGCGGACGGGTAGATCAACTCGTCCCAGTGGGTGGACGACTCCTCCTCCAAACCCTATTAAAGGGTGGGAGGCCGGATGTATGCAGTCCGTCTGATATTTCAGTTTTGACAGACATTTGCTGCTGATGAGATCTGAAGAGCTCCCAGTATCTATGAGGATTCGACCAACTCTCTGGTTGGCCACTTTACATTCAATAACGAGAGGGTCGTCATGCGGCCCCCTTATTCCTCCTAGATCCTCTTCAGTGATGACAATCTCAGGAAATGTATATTTGGACGGTCGTTCTTGGTGAACGGAATTTACATCTAACCGCCTTATATTATCTTTGTTGCCCCTAATAGTGGGGCCGCCTCCTGAGAAGCCGCCTGCAATGGTGTAGACGACTGCATCATCTGTATCGGAACTGTCGGCCTGTTGATTCTTTTTGGCCGACTGCTTTTTTGAGGAAGTATTCCCCGTAGATTTCTTGACATAAGTGTCAAGATCACCTTGATCAGCCAAGCGGTCTAGGTACCGCATGAGACTAATGCAGTCGTTGGTGTGATGACCAATGTCATCATGATAAGCACAGATTTTGTCTTGGTTCCGGTTGCTCGCAGAACCCTTCATGGGGAGCGGTTTCTCAATTGAGAGCCGTCCCTTTATTTCTTTTAGGATAAACTGGTTATCCTTGTTAAACACATACTTTGGGGAGTATGGTTTGAATTCCTTTTTCTTCTTGGCCGGCTGTTTAGAGGAATCAGCCGCCCAGACCCCTTTTCTTTTTTCATCTTTGTTGGACGACTGTTTCTGTCGTCCTTCTCTATTGTCGAACCTCTTCCCGTCCGACTGTTTCATTGTACACAGATCAGTTGCCTGTATATAGGCTTCTGCTTCAATCAAGGCCTCTTGAAGAGTCGCCACCCTTTTTCGAACTAAATCAAATTTGAAGGTAGACCCGTCTTTGAGACCTCTAAAAAAGTCAGTATAAGCTACCTCATCCGGTAACCCTTGAATCTGTATTCTCATCAGGTTGAACCGCCTGATGTAGGAACGAAGCCCCTCCTTTTCACCCTGCTGAATTGTTCCCAAATCAAGGGTCGTTTTCTTCGCAGGGATGTTCATTGCAAAGTTGGAGGCAAATAAGTAAGCAAGCGTCCTGAAACTGTTTACACAACCAGTCGGCAGGTTGCCGAACCATTGCTGTGCAATTCCCTTGAGAGTTGCTGGGAAACACTTGCACCAAGTGGGATCATCCAACCCTTGAAGGTACATCAGGTTGGTGAATGCCATCAGATGGTCTTCCGGGTTAGTAGTGCCATCATAGGCGCCTACTAAAACATTTTTTACTTTGGCCGGCTGAGCGGCTTCAATAATTTCCTTGGAGAAGGCCGACGGCTGTTCACCAAGTCTAAGCAGCCGTAGCTGCCAGTCCATAGGTTGGACGTTTTTTGCTGCAGGTCCACCAAATGGAGGTGGCTGCATAAAATATTGTTGTTGCGGCACAAATGGCAAATTTGGTACCGCCTGCGCACTATGAAAGCCAGACTGACGGGAGGTGCCGCCTGACTGACTCTCATGGTACGACTGAGTTGGCCTCATCGAGGCATTTCGCAAACTGTCCTGAAAATTTGAAGTAGAAGCCGACTCTGATAATCGGTCACTCTTCTTCTGCTCTAGCAGGTGCCGAGCATCTGTGAACGTTTGCTTTGACCCGTCCGCCTGAATATGACGAACCGGTTTCCTATTTCCCGTAGGATAACGGGGTTTTGTGAAATCAAGAGCAGACGGCTCCCGCTTCTTAGATTTAGGATGGGGAGTCGCCTCTCGCCCTTGAACTGGCTTCCTCTTCAGTGAAGTGGAAGGTTTTTTGGCCGCCTGCTCTTTGACTGAAGCAGGCGGTTTTTTGTTGATCAACTCTTGGATCTCTCCCTTGAATCCCCTCATGAAGGTCATGAGTTCGTTCCTTGTGATGGGAGCAGACCCATCAGTCGGCTGTTGCCGAGCAAGCGGTGCGCCTGCTGGCTCGCTTCCTGTTTGAAGATACTCCCGTTCCCTTATTTCAGTATGACGGGTACGGCGGGCCCTTAGGGTCCCGTCTGGAGCTGTATGAGTTTCAACTTCAAATTCACTTTCGGTATCATGGTCCGACTGAACTTGAGGGTCGTCTAGGGGACGCCTCTCTTCTGGGGTCGGTACAGACTTGGATGCCATCTCTGAAGTACTCTCCCCACAGACGGCGCCAGATGTTTCGGGGTTTTCTGATGTCCTGCGGGAGAGTTACAATTCCGAGACTGGAACCGGACGCCTGTACCTGCAAAATAACGGAGACTCCTGAGAGCTCCGCCTCCAACGGTCAAGTTAGTACCTGATTAAGGAGTAATTAATACAGAAATTAAAGTAATAAGGTCTCTCTAGGTGAGAGTATTTAATGTAGGTAATCTGCTTTGCTAGCGAGATCAGCCGGTTATTAGTGTGTTCCGTAAATTATTCGGTCCCCTGATTAATGAGGATTAATCGAGTATTTATAGCCTTGGGAAGCGTGCAACTCTCTAGGTTTAAGGTAAACCTAGGGCCGATCGGGCTTCTAGACTGAAATGGGCCTTGATGGCCGGTTGTCCCATTTGGCATGGGTGGACACGTGGCGTGTCTTAAGTGGTCCGTGGAGGACGCGTGGCGGAACCTGGTTGGTCCACTTGTCAAACGGCGCTTGGTGGATAAAAATCCCCTAATCAATACATATGGGTCGAAAGTCTTTCAAAGTCCTTCATTTCATGTTTAACACGATAAATTCTTTTATTCGTCCAAACATTTTATTAAGTCTATTCAATAGATCTTAGTTCCCAATATGTACTTAGTGTCGCCTTTAGCTTGTTAATTCATCATATGTACTTAGTGTCGCCTTTAGCTTGGTCCATTGACTCTTTCACCCACTAAACTTCTTATCCATAAAAACTTCTATGTTTATCCATAAGCCAATCCTATTATGCATTTCTTGAGCTTGCTTTCAAATATAGCATTATTTAGATTTAAAATCCCTTGGACTATTTTCATAGTAATGTCCAAAATCCTATTTTAGGAAGGCGGTTTTGGTATCTACCAGACTACCACTAGTAGAAAATATCAATAGGGCACCGAGTAATGGCCACCGATTTTTAAAATTTGGTAGAAAAAAAACAAGGCGGGATTTAGTGTAATAGAAATAGCACCGGTTCAAACAAAACAAGTGCCAAATTCCTTAAAGGGCACCGGTTCAAATTGGTGGCATTAAAAAACCGCCCTTTTATTTCCCATATTCATTATCTTTCCTTTTCTTTTTTCATATTCTTTCTCTCTCCTCATATTTTTTGATCTCCTACTCTCTCTCTCCTCAACCAAAACCCTAAGCCCTTTTCTTCTCCCTCGCCATTCCCTTCTTCTCCCTCGGATTCCCTTCTTTCTCCATTGAAGCGTAGATCTGTTGTCTCTCCATTGAAGCTAGGGTTCGTTACTCAAGTGTTGTCTGTCATCCTCCTCTCCCTCGCTAGCTTCCTCGTTCATTCGTCCCTTTCCCCCTCACAACTCCGGTGGAAGTTTAGGGTTATTTCCGGCGACCAGGTGAATAAATGTTCTTGTTTAATTTTTAATTTTAATTAATTTATTGTGGAAACTAACTGTATTAATTTATAATATAGGGTTCCAAATTTGCTTAGATCGAATTAGAGGTGGTTGTTAGGATGACGGCGACACTAACTGGGATTTCAAGGATTTTCGGCAAATTCGAAGAAGAAAAAAAACTCAATTTCTGAATCCCTAATTCATACCATTTGGAGCTCAATTTGCATGTTATATTGGGATTTTTGTTAACAAGGTCAGTAGATCTATTCGTTACTAATTTTTTTTAAGCGTAGTTCATAGCTTAATCTCAGATCTTTCATTCTAGTATTTCTTTTTATTTTTCTTTTTTTTTTGCGATTATTTAATTCTTTTTATCAATTTCTGTAAAAAAATTAATTGCTAATTTTGGGATCCATTACTTTTGTTTGATGGTAGATTTTGGAAATATTTTCTGGGTTTCGTTCATAATAAGTGTTATTAATGAAATGAATTTTTACTGTTTTTTGAATACAAATAAAAAGCAAGGAACAATTGTTGGCTTATAAGTAAGGAACGATTTTTACACTAGGTGGTTGGTGATGAACTAACACCCGTTCGAAGGGTAGTGATATCTACATATATCCCTCCTCAATCACCACCATCTTACCACTTTTTATATTCGTCTCTTATTAGCCCCTCTTCGCTTTACCCTTGATCCAAGTATGCCCTTAATAAGAGAATATTACTGCCTGTTACGTTATTGTTCTGGCAGTCTGGTGCAATTTTAGCTAGAAAGAAATAAGCTAGGAGAGGAGGAGAGGGGTATAAACAAATGTATCCAAACCTTCTCCTGTCTTATTCTCCATCGAAGGGATAATCTGCATTAGGCTAGATTCAGTATGTGCTTCACTTCATGTGTTCATTTTTTAAATAATCGTCCTCAATGAACAATATGCAATGTTTTATTTCAGTATGCCAGTATGATTTCAACTTTTTATATTCTTTTTTCTTGAACTCGAAACTCGTTAGTATCTAATGTAGGATCTTTGTAAACCCTCTCCTACCGACCAAATTTGGTTAGTATACAACTTGCTGATGCTTAGTACTTGTGTAGTGTATCAGTATTGCATGAATTTGCTTTGATATGATAAGCAAGTAAATTTCAACGTCCTAGCCTAATGATAACTTAGACTAGATCTTTGATTTACATCTGTTGTTTTCAAGCTAGCCTTTAATTTGGCCTAGTTTTAAAAAATGAAAGTCTAGCTTTCACTTTTTTATTCCCATAAGACCAAATGTCATTTTGATTTGTTCACTTTTGTTCTGCAGCTTTTTACTTAATTTTCTATAGCTGCTAAAGTTTTTACTCAGAAAATAACTTAAACAGGCACTGAGTTATGCTAGCTTAGGATCTGTTTTATGAACTTAGTTAATATAATTTGTCTTAATTCAAACAAAGTTGTTGGAAGCATAAGTTATGTCGTGGTGAAAATAAGCTCAATTTAATAAAAATTCACGCTAAATAAGTTGAACCAAACATAGCTTTAGGCTTATACAGAGTATGATGCTTGTTTTTTGCTTTTTATTTGTATTCAAACAAAAACGTAATTTTAGGCTCATACAGAGTATGATGCTTCTTTTTTCATAAGCACTTGCCTAGTTCCTTTTGCACATATTAAGTTTCCTTTACAATGTTCTATTTGCATATATAATCAATGATAACTTACTTTTAGACATCCATGATCAAAGTGAAAAGATCAACCATAGAATTATAATATAATGGCCAATATTTTGATTGATATAATTTGCATCTTCTCTGAGTGCTTTTCTGTTCCTTCTCGGTGATACCTAGTTTGAATTAGTGCAATCACTATATCTATGTCTTATAAAGATTTCTTGATTTTTACTGCTTTTGATTTGGTTGGGTTAAAACCCATATTTACGTCATTAGTATCACCTCAATTCTAAAACCTAACCCTATGATTGGAAGTCAGCCAAATTTCTTACAAAATATCTAGTACATGAATTGTAAAAATTTTCAGTCATAATCTAGTATAAGAGGCAGCTCCAACATGAATTCTTTTGTATGCTACATCTTGATGTCTAGTCAAGTATGATTAATCATAGTATGAAGTGGGGGAAATATTGCTGGAATTTTTATACATATTTTTATATGAACAATTGTTGTCTGGTTGATGGCTAATATGCATGCTTTGGGATTTTTTTTCTCCTTCAGCTTGGGATTGTTTGGAATGGTTTTGTGAGTATACTAATATTGAATGTGATTTTGTTTTGTGCGACTATACAAGTATCTATTTTTTTTATGATTTTGTTTGGGATTGTTCTAAAATAGTAGAATCTATAATGATTATAGTGTTTGGATAACTATCTATGCTGTATGATTTACAATTGTAAATTTTCTAGATTTTATTAAGTCCTATTGATTGTAGTGTTGTCTTGGGGTTTTATATGTGAAGCTGTGAACTTTATTTTTGGTGATTGGTGATATATTGAGTCCCTTATATATTTTTCATAATTTGGAATTTTTTTGCAAGAATTCATGTTTAAAGATGTTTCATAGCAGTAACACTTCTAAATAATATGAAGTATACAAAAGGAGCTAACCATTATTTGTAGGTGGCCTGGCAAGGCTGCAGCTGCTACTGCTTGCCGAAGCTGCTGCTGTTGCAGGTGGCATGGCAAGACCGCAGCAGCTGCTGCCCTGCCGAGATTGATACTACAGGTGGCCTAGCAAGGCTGTAGCTGCTGCTCTTTCCTCTCATGCTGAGGCTGTTGTCTAGTTGATGGCTAATATGAGTGCTTAAAATACTGGAGCCCATTTGGTATATGTTGGTGGATTCATTGTTAATATATGTTGTCAATTTTTGTATAATCTTAATTACTTATTGTTAATTTTTTCAATGCTTGCATAGAGTTTACAAGCTTTGCACAAACCAGAGAACCTAAGCCAGCAACGTGGTGTGAGATTCAGGCTTCGAACGCTGAAAATCTATTCTGTGACTGCGGCTTCGGAGATGCTGTTGTCTAGTAATTGTGATGCTGCTGCTGTGCTAGTGATTGTAGTGTAGGAAATTGTTGATCCTGTTATAGTGAATGTATCCAATGTTTTTTTTCTTTGTTTTTTTCTAGTGTAAAATTAAAGGTTATCAATGAAATTATCATTTTCAAGTATGTTATGTATATATATAACAGTCTGCTACTAATTTTAGGTGAAAAAAGATTTTTTTTTTGTTAGGGAATTTTTGGCACCGGTTAACCAGTGTCAATTATATTTAATACAAAAAAAAAAACCGGGGATATTATTGGCACCGGTTAACTTGTGCCAAAAATAAATATTGGCACCGATTAACCGGTGCCAATTTAAGCAATTTCCACCAGTTTTGAACCGGTGGCTTTTTATTTATGAATTGGCATCCCTCAAATATTCAACAGTTCAAAACTGGTGCCATATGAGGGGTTTGAATCGGTGCCAATTTGCAATTTTCTACTAGTGTATTTTTCTATATTTCATATGGGAAAGTTTGCTAGAATAATCATGAAAAGACTTGAGCTCCGATTGGTGAATAGGTTTTTATTAAAATCAACTATGTGAATTTCATTATATCCTTTTCAACCAGTCTAGCTATGTATGCATATACATTTCCAAATTTGTTAGTTTTCTCCTTGAAAACTAATTTGTGATCGATGGGTCTTTCACCCATCATGCAAATTAATCAAGGTTTAAACATGAGTCTCAAACATGGAGTCTATTTCGGATTTTATGGCCTCTAACCATTATTCAGAATTTGTATTTTTCATAACTAATTTACAAGACATTATTCCCTTACCATCTAATAGTAAATAGTATGCTTGTAAGTATTAAGGTTTTTTATTTTCTAACGTAATAGAAATTTATAGGATTCAATCCAAGCCTTTGGTGAATTCTATACCAATACGGAGTAATTGCATCAAACACTGAGTTTCAAGGAGCTTTCAAAGCCCTTTTATTATGTTGATCTTACTCCATCATTTCTGATGTTTTGTGTGTAATGAATTCTCTTTTAAGGCACTTGTAAAGCCCTTTTGAGTATTCTTGATCAATCATTGTCATGAAGCCCTTTTGAGTGTTCCGAAATTCTCAGTTCTAGTTTGTTGCTAAGCTCGATGGTCATCGAGTTAATTTTCCTCCCATTTGTCATCTTGGGAATGTGTTACTTTCTAGAAAGACACCACGTAGACGTTGTTTGATATTTTCAAATGACATCGAGGTCACACTTGGCTGAAGCAAATATCACTCAATCTACTCTAGACGTTGTTTGATATCTTGCCATGTCGATTCTATACTTCACTGAACTTTTGAGCTACCTAAGGTCAACTTTGTTCACATTTGATGAATATAGCCATATTCTTTCAAATTTCTTATGAAACATTAAAGTAATTGAATCTTCTTTAGCGTTTGGAGTCAATTGTCTATGCCAAGAACAATAGCTCTTTACTTTGTCGATTTTTAACAAGTAAGACTTGGTTGTCTTAGAACAATTCCGAATCGATCAACTGTCATGAGCCTATATAGCCTTGACTACATTCTTGTTAATGTGACATTGCTAATGATGTTCGGAACAAAAGTCATGCCTATGATTTGAATTTTGTGTGTTTTCATGTTAGGGAAATGTTTGTTATACTCAAGCATTCTTAACTCATGGTTTAGATAACCAAGCTATTCAAATAAATTCGCAACTATTTCTCTTTACTTCGAATGTGAGTCTTTCCGTGTAACGGATTGTTTGCTGATTATGGAACATAATAATAACCATTTTTTATTCCAGCGTTAGCTTTAAAAGGTCTTTAAATAAAGCACACAACCTTACAACTGATGTAGCACCTGTTGCTTCATTCTATGCTTGTAAGACAATAACTTAGCTTTACTTCAATGGTTTGAGGTCTTTATCAATGTGGAACATCTAAGCAGTATCCGATACTTGTGAAGATAATGAGTTGCTAAGTTTAGTACAATAACATGAACTCTTGGTAGAATGGAATTTATGCCTTTTCTTTCTTCCTCAATTCCTATATTTCTTATCATACTTTATGTCATAATCTTTAACACCGTTTCTTTAAGTGTTTTGACTTTATACTTTGTTAGGAATGATTAAGCATCTAGTGTGCCATTAAAAAAAGTTCCTTTTTCCTTTAATTTGTACTTGAATTAATACATCAATGAGTTGTATTCACTAGAGTATGAAGCGAAAAGATATGTTGGTTGTCAAGCATCGACAATTTGAGTTTTTCAACTCAATACTTCATGTTTATCAAAACTACCTAGTATTTTGAATACATGTGTAGACATCTACTTTTGGCCTCCTGTCCCGACTGGAAGTGCTATGACGATAAATAAAATCATCTTCGTGTTGGATCAACGTGAAAAATACTTATGGATAACCGATTGAATCACAAGGGCACAAAAATGACTAGCCTAACCCAAAAACAAAATAAATAAGGTCCAATTAATTAAGTCCAATCATAATTAGGCTTAAGCCCGAGATTAAAACCTTATTATGACGAATTTAGAGGTGCCTAGGTTAAAAATCGATGTTTCCGCTGAGAAATCCGCACGCATCTCAATGAGTCGCGTTGTTCTAGCGCTCGCAACTAACTCCATTGCGCGCATCACCCAGCGTAGCTGCTAGTGATGCGCTTGGAGAAGATTCAGAATTTCATAAAAATATAAAATTGAATCTTACCATAATACTCTGCGTAAGATCATCAGTTTCGTTGCCAAAAGCAGCGCATCTTAATGAGTTGTGTTGGGCCATCGCCCGCAACTCATTAAGATGTGCGCGACCTCTGCTGCGGCAGAATGCTCAAAACTCTAAACGCACCCATTCCCTATAAATAGAGGCTTAATACGAGGCTCAAACAGACAGAAATTAACCTAAAACTCTGGCAAAAATTTTGTGAACTTATGAACTAGAATATCCTTTTTTCCTAAACCTTCACCCCCTCAATACTTGTTACTACAGTTGAGGTTCTCAAATAAGGACTCTGTTTCGGGGTTTTTTGATGTGTCCTGCGGGAGAGTTACAATTCCGAGAATGCCCTTCGACGCCTGTGCCTGCAAAATCACGAAGACTCCTGGGGGTAGGAGCTCCGCCTCCGACGATCAAGTTAGTAAAGATACGGGAGGTAGAATGCACGTAATGTGGAAGTTACTTCTCGCGCAATGGGAGAATTCCGCAATTAATATTGCTCGGGGTAAGTGTGTTTCTTTTTGAGGAGTATTCAATGTGATCAACAAATGTTCCAGCCCCCATTAATGAGGGTCCTTCCACTATTTATAGTGGGGAAGGGATGGTTCCCCTTTTAGGGTTTAGAGGACACGTGTCAGCAGAGGATTAGAGCCCTGCTGACCAACGGCTGGATGCCACGTGTCACTAGGCCATTGGGCCACGTGTTTAGGGTATTTTTACCCCAAACATTTGCCCCTCACTGGTGCTGACGTGGCAGGGTGCCACGTGGCGCCGGTGAAAGGTTTTTTTTTTTTTTTTTTTTTTTTTTTTTTTTTTTTTTACTCTTCAGATTCCTTTTGAAGGATGGAAAAGCAGAAGGCGAAGAGTCACGACTTTTCACCTTCTGGGACAAATTCTATAAATAGGAGAAGGTGTCCCCCGAGCTCTCATTTACAAACTTTGCCAAATTTCTGAAGATTTGAGAGCAACCGGCAATTTGAGAGTTGAGAGCATTCGGAGTTGAGATTCGTTGAGAGCAACCGGTCTACAGACCGTCTGGGTCGTTGCAAGCTAGCCAAAGGTTTTCGAGAGGGTAACCAGAGAAACCCAGCCGGATTTTGAACCGCCTGCGTCTTCGCAAGCATCCCAGAGAATTTCCAGATTTTCTTCTAGGTACCGTCTCTATACTTTCTAGCTTTTTCATGTATTTCCGTTTGAGTCTTTTACTCGCATTTTTGTTCATTGGTCCCATAAGTAGATGGACCCCTTATACCCATACCCGGAACCTAGCTGTGAACTCAGCCGGTTTATTAGTACGGCTGAGTCTAGAACTGGGTCTGCCGCCTCTGTTCTTTGGGACAACCCTTTTTCAACACCCATATCGACCGACTCTGTGTCTGTGCAGGACACAATGGCCAGAATCCGGTCTACTGCCAGAGATCCCAACTACAGAAGTGGGAGCTCAGATGAGCAGCCGCCTGAGGTCCCAGCTTCAGGCGGTGAAGTAGAGCATAGAGAGGTAGAGCAGAGAGGCTCACCCGGGGGCGCTCCTAGCACCCCAGGTGATAGCATTTTAAACGAAGAGAGTGCTCCCCTCCAGGAGACCAGAGAGCAGGTAGGCTCTGATAAGGAGGTCTCCAACTCCCTAGCCGGCTCTGATGCCGGTCACGTTCAAAGTAGCAGTAGCAGCTACTTAACCGAATCTGAGGATAGCGAGGAGGCGGAGAGGCCTTCTTGGGATAATAGGAACGATCCTCTCATGATCGCCGTCTCCTCCAAGGACCGCGAGCTCATGCGGGCTGCGCTGCCAGATTTTATCAAACGGCGGCCGCTAGGTGGTGACTATACAATAAAAGTCCCGGCTGCTCTGGGAACAATATGGTGGGAGGATGGACAACCGAACGCGAACGCTTGGTTCGGGTGCTACGAGACGGCCTTCGTGGCCGGAGTCCGCTTCCCTCTCCACGACACAATAAAAGCCATACTTAGGGGGTATGGCCTAGGTCTCTGGCAACTAACCCCCAAATCATGGGTAAATATTTTAGGGTATATCGCCGCCTGCGAGATGCAGGGCCTCAACCCCGGCTGGGAGGCGTTTGCCCACATGCATTACTTGAGTAGGAGCCCAGGCGGCTGGAGAGCCTGGTATACCTTGACCACCCAGCCCAAATACCTTATGACCTTGGACAAGCCATCCAAATGGTCGGACTGGAAGCACCGGTTCTACCTGGTTAAGGCCCCAACTACGGCAGAGAACAGAGAATTCCGGATCTACAACCGGAAACCAGAACTCTTGGGGACCAAGTGCTGCCTGCCCCCTGTCCCGGAGGATGATAGAGAGACCATCCTTGACTCCGGGTTTTTTGAGTTAGTTCCTGACACCCTCTCATCCGGAGAGATAGTAAGGGTACCTAGAAACTGGGTGCCCAAACATGAATTTTTTAGGGACGAATGCTTCTTGTCCGCTTGTGGCCTAAGCAGCATGTTTAAAAAACGTATGTATTCGGAACTCAGTCGGTTTCTTTCGAA